CATTATAATTTAAATATTTTTTAAAAAATTAAACAAAAAAATTAGAAATTTATTTTTTTTAAAAAAATAATAATAATTTTTCTATTTTTCATGAAGCTTAAGAAAACTGAAAAAAAAAATTACGCTCATAAATCGGTTGATGCAGTAACAAATTTTTATTGTGCACAGTACTTTGATATGTTTACATAAATAATATAAAAATAGATTATTTATGTAAATATAAATTAAAAACTATATATTAAAAAAAAAAAAAGTCGATAAATTGTTGTAGAGATAGAAATAAATGCTGTGTATTTAGGTTGAGAATATCAAAATTTTAGCATTTAATATATGGTATTTCCAATGGCACAGGCGTGTATAGCAGAGAGTATAGGGTTAATTAGGCGTATTGGGATTAGAGCGTGTTGGTTGGGGCAAGGGAAGGGAGCGTGAGTGAGGTGGCGTAATGAAGAACTACTACTACTATTCCATTTTCCTTGGCACTTGGCAGAGATACGGATAGAGACAGAGGTTTTGATGTAGTAGTATTGGGTTTGAGACTCATAAAGCCTCGTGATCGGAGAAGCCAGGCAGATAGATCCACACTGTTTCCACTGTCACGTGCCCACTTTTGACTACCCAATGACCAAACCAAACCACACCACACTCCCCTATAAATTCACATCATGCATCAAAACATTTTTATATAACAACACTCTTGCTGTTGCTGTTGCTCATACTCTGGGTCCCCTCCCTCTCACACACTTGTGCATCCCCTCCCTTGGCAGTTAACGACAACGTGCACTGCACCTGCTGACTACCATTTTAACTCTTTCAAACGCTTTATCATTGCACTCTCCCACTTCACTCCTTCTTTTAAATTCCACCCCCAACGCTCACACTTGATTAGTTGCTCGCTCGCCATGCATCCTTGTTACTGCGGAGCCTCCCAGGGGCACGTGATAGGCACCTGCACCTGCACCATGCTCTATGACTATGACTATGCCCACGCCCCCTACGACGACTATTCCTCTTTCACGCCCTCTCCTTCTTCCGTCGACTGCACGCTCTCCCTTGGCACCCCCTCCACGCGTTTGACCCAAGAAGACCGTCGCTCTTCTGTCTCTAACTTTTGTTGGGACTTGCTCCAATCCAAACACACCTCGCACAACCCTTCCAAGTCTACCAGACCCTCCAATGCTTCCTCCCACAACGACCCTCTCCTCGCTCGTCGCTGCGCTAACTGTGACACCACTTCCACTCCTCTTTGGAGGAACGGTCCTCGTGGCCCTAAGGTCTCTCTTTCTCTTTCTCTTTCTCTTTAACCAATTCAACATCTCTTCTCTTCTTCTTAATTCGACATAACTCTTTTAATATTAGTAGAGCTTATATATAATATAGTGTTTCTTAACTGATATATTCTGATAATGATGATACATTGGTAAGCCCAAGTGAGATAGACATGGCAATTAAGAACTAAGGAAAACTTTCATTTCCAAGAATCTGAGCAGTTAATGTTTTTTTATATTCTATTGATATTTATGGTGTGGTGTGTTTGAATTGAACTGCAGTCGCTATGCAATGCTTGTGGGATCAGATTCAAGAAGGAAGAGAGAAGAGCGAGCGCCGCCGCCGCCAGCGCCACGTCAGCGGCGGTTCCCGGCGGTGTAATGGAATCGGCGCACGCGTACGGGCAACACAGCAACACGTGGTACGCGCAGTCGCAGAGCCAGAAGATGGGGAACGAGTACCGCTTTATGGAGGATTCCGATAGAGAGTCGGAGAATGGCATTCCGTTTCTCTCTTGGAAGCTCAACGTGGCGGACCGAACTAGCCTCGTTCACGACTTCACCAGATGATGGAGCATCGAACGAACGACGCTGATATGATATCGTTCATACGTTAACAATAACGAAGAAAAATGACAAAAGCATGTAGCTAGCTACAACCTTGACGTTCAAGACCACGCAGGTGTACGTCGACGTTTTACGATGGATGGTGATGTAGATGTTTTTGATTGCGATGGTTGCATTATGGTCTCGTCAATGTGATGTTTTTTTTTTTTATTCATTTTCTTTTTTGTTTGGTTCCTTTTTCTCCGTCTTGTGAAAGATGGAGTGAGAACGGGATAATTCTATGTTCTTAGTTTGCTTTTTCTTTGGTCTTGGCTCTTTAACTTTCTCTTTCAGTTACTTGCTAATCCCACCTTTCTGTTGGTTCACTTTCTCGGACTCTCGGTTATATATATTATTCTAATTCTATAGTATCGATGATGTCCATGACAATGATCGCATGTGGACCTTTTGATGCGTTTTATGGTCCATTTTGCAGTGTTCTAAGCCGAACTCGTTTTTTGAGTTTGTGTAGACTCATACGCTGATTTGATACACTTTGGGAAAGAAAGAGAGTGAGAGGTTGATGGATTTAACTGGGGTGTTGCAATTCTGACGGTTCTATGTGTATATGTTGGATCACTGTTCTCTCTGAACCGGACACCGTGCGGTTCAGAACAGTAAAACTGAAATATCTTTATAGATCATTTCATCCAATCCCTCGGCACTCACTGCCTACTAAGTTACCTTTTCCATCATCAAATCTACCATCATTATTTACAAGTACTAGTACTATTTTTTTGTTGACCTATGTGCTCATCAAAATTATGTACTTAGTTTTCAAATAAACGTTTTTCAGAAATTATAAGCAAGAAAATGATTATCTGTTCGAATTTGTATATTTAAAAAAAATTAGAAAAAAAGGGAAACCACATTCTTACAATTGTATATCTAGTTACTTATTTAACAAAATGGTGGAGAGAAATTATAAGCAAGTGGCTATCAGTTTGAATTTGTCTATACAAAATTTGGTTTTAGTTTAAAGGGGGCAATTCGTTATTAAATATCTTTAAAATAAAAGTTGAAAGAGTATTGTCCTACAATTATGATCGACCCACAATGATAATTTAGTTATCGGAATATTTAATAAATCTCTTATCTTTATTTTCGATAGATGGGTTTTGTTTTTAAATTGAATATTTATCTCCTCTAAAGCATTTCATTTTTTTTAACATAGTGGTTGAGCCTTGTGGCCTTGATTTTTTAGCCTATTTCCTAATTCTTGATCTCAACATTTTTTTATTATATCCGTGATTATTAAGTTTCATGTATATTGTACATACTTATCTTATCAAGTAGTGGTTTATATCTCTTGTTTGGTATTATAGACAGGTCATAATTAGCGAGATAGATCAATCATCTACCCTCTTATGATAGATTTAGTCAACATTTGAGTAACATAACGAGGTTGGTCAACCAAAGACTTATCAGGGTACAAATTGTATACATAAAAAAAAATAATTAACAAGATATTGAAATGAGTATGTGATACTTTGGAGAAATACTAAAATTAATTTTTTTTTACCTAAACAAAATTTTTGGTGTAAAATTCAAAGTTAAATATTTAGATACCTTCAAGTTAGAACCAATATGTCGGTGTACTGATGATGCTGCTACAAGAAATGTTACATATAGTGACATACAAAAAATGTCACTATAAGTATAAAATAAATAGGTATAAATTTCTTTGACATATAACTATATACAATTTTAATATTGATTTTGAATAAAATTTAACAACATATATTGTGTATCACTATAATCTATAACTATACTTTTTAATAATATACTACAATATATTGTACATATATAATGTAGGTAAAAATTATTTTTAATGTTAAGTATTATATCACTATTGTGACACCTTCTACATTGCATGTGATAGTAAGCATAAGAAAGAATGTTTTAATCAAAAATTGGCTTTATTCATAACTAACTTACTGAATAATACCAAGTCTGGAAAAGGTTACCACATAACTAACTCCACATGTCAATACTCCAACAATTACTTCAAAATAAAAATATAACAAAATAGTCTAACATCATGTCCTAAGGGAGGACTGAACAACAAAAGCAATGAACTTTAGCTATGTCTCGATGTCGCATATTTTATCAAAATATTCTCATATAAGGATTATGTCTCGTCAGTCGTCACCAATATCATCAACATTCCGATGAACCTCCCCTACAATAACATACATACAAAAATAACATTAAAAACAAAGAGTGAGAAACATCTCGCTTTGGTTCATAGCATAGAATAAGGTTGAATAGTCACACTACATTAAGATATTATCAATGTATATATAAACACTTAAATTAATATCAACCACGTACAATTGGATCAATCAAGATTCACTATATCATTCATCATATAACTCGTTACACTATACACAGACTACAATTTGCATATGCATACAATGCCAATCAAATTTATATGTATATACACACACACAATATATATGTATGGATTTGTAGATTTACGTGCATATAATACATGTCACACACAAGACTCAATACAATATCATGTTATCAATATGCATATTCATAACGATTTTTCATCATCACAACAATTTGCCAACATTGTTCCATTTGCAACATTCATTCATCATAACATCACAATCATATAAATTCAATCATCATACTTAATCATATTCATCAATTAGCACAAGAGTCATTCATATCATTCACTATTAGCTATAACAAAAAAAGATACTTGATGGTCTGGCACAGGATGGTGCCCAATGACAATCAAATCGCACCTAGCGTGGCACAACCAAAAAGCATCTATAGCTCTTTGAATGACCTGTGTCCGATGTGACTCACCTCACACCTAGTGAAATATCCACAAGGAGTTCACACACTCGGTGAGGACCAACCCACGCCCAACATGAGCGGTACAGAGAGAAAATTTTGCTCTCAACCTATTGATACTATCACAGTGTTGATAGATCAGTATTGAAGAAAAGGAAGGGAAAACATACTGCTGAAAAATACATCAGAATTGCATTCAGAAAAAAATGATGAAAGATTACAAAACTATATCTTATATACACGAGGCTAAAAAAACTAATTAACAACCTATAACAACCTAACAATTAACCCAAGAAAAATATAAACTAACTAGAATACATATTTACAGTATAAAGACAGTTGTATAATTGTATACTCCAATATCCCCCCCTCAAGATGGCAGAAAAGCATTCTTCGGTAAGGATTTAGTGAAAACATCTGCTAGTTGATGGTATTTTCTGACATGAATCAACTTGATAACGCCTTTGGTGACTTTATCTCTGATGAAATGTAGGTCAATTTCAAGATGTTTTGTTCTTTCATGAAAAGTAGGATTGGAGGCAATGTGGATGACAACTTTATTATCACAATATACAGATGCAAAAGGGGTGTTGATGTTGAAATCAGCTAGAAGGTTCCTCAGCCAAGTAATTTCATTAGATACAGAATATATGGCCTTATATTTTGCCTCTACAGATGATTTACTCACTATTTGCTGTCTTTTGGATTTCCAAGAGATTAAGGAATTTCCTAGGAAAACACAAAAGCCAGTTGTGGACTTTCTACTGTCATGACAAGATCCCCAATCCGCATCAACATATTTATGCAATCTGGTATCTGAATTGGCTTTGAAGAAGATACCTTGTCCAGCTGTGTTCTTGAGGTACCTAAGTAACATATTAGCTTCATTCATATGGTTAGTATATGGATTAGAAACAAATTGACTTAACTTATGTACTGTGAAGCATATGTTAGGCCTAGAGATAGTCAAGTATAACAATCTGCCAATAAGCCTTCGGTATTTTCCAATGTCTAGTAGCTTTGTGCCATATTTTGTTTTTAGTTTCAAATTGGATTCCATTAGGATAGATGAAGGTTTGCATCCCAACATTCCACAGTTTTCCAAGATTGACATAGTATAGTGCCTTTGACACATAAATATTCCTTCTTTGGATTTGGAATATTCTAATCCAAGAAAGAATTTGAGGTCTCCGAGATCCTTCAACCTGAAATGTTTTTGTAAAAGAGTTTTGTATGTGAAATAACATCATTGCTAGGACTAGCAATGACGATGTCATCCACATATACTAAAAGAGAAATGAAATTTGAATTAGTCCCTTTAGTGAACAAGGAATAATCAAATTTTGATTGCTTGTAACCATGAGATAGTAAGGTAGTACTGAATTTATTAAACTAGCTCTTTGAAGCTTGTTTAAGGCTATAGATAGATTTTTTAAGTTTACAAACAAGAGGAACAGGTGTGGTACTAATGATATTACCATTTAAAAAATCATTTTTGATATCTAGTTGAGCTAAATGCCAATGTTGAGATGCTACCAAGGATAAGAGTAACCTGAGTGAGGTGATTTTTGCCATAGGGGAAAAAGTTTCCTGGAAATCAAGACCATACCGTTGAGTAAATCCCCTTGCAACAAGTCTGAGTTTAATTTTAGCTTGAAGAGCCACTTGCAGATAATGGGCTTTTTGTCTAGAGGAAGAGACACCACATCCCAAGTATTATTGACTTCCATTACAATCAATTCATCAAAAATAACTTTCTACCAGGATGTGTGTTTGATAGCCTGAGCATAAGTTTGTGGTTCAACATGTTTTGAAATTCGAAAAATATAGTGTCTATACGAATTGGATAGATTGGAATAATCAAGGTAATTTTGGATAGGATATGTAGTGATCGAAGAGTTTGTGGCATTATAACAATGATAGTCACTTAAGTATCTTGGAGGATTGGAAGTTCGGTTGGATCTTCGAAGAGGAGGGTGGTCCGCAATGGAAGGTTGTGTGTCAGTTGAGGTGATGTGAGGAATAATGGTAGTATGAGGTGCAGTAGGAGTGTGATCATCAGTGTCATCCAAGGTATGTGAATGAGTGATATTAGGGGTAATATAAGAATCTGTGTTGTCAGTATCATAAATGGTTTGATGTGCAATTTTGAATGGGAAAATATGTTCAAAAATTTTTACATCTCTTGAAATAAAAATTTGTTTGGTGGAAAGGTCAATAAGTTAGTAACCTTTGTATCCCTTGGGGTAACCAAGGAAAACAGCAGCAATAGCCCTATGAGTGAACTTGTGTCTACTAGATAAAAGGGTAGATGCATAGCATAAGGAGCCAAAAACCCTGAAATCAACATAGTTAGGAATTTTATCATACAAAATTTCAAAAGGTAACTTAGAATCCAAAACAAGACTTGGAGTTCTACTCATGAGGAACACAACAGTTTTGACACATTCGCCCCAAAATTTTAATGGAACATTAGATTGAAACATTAAAGCACGGGCAATGTTTAGGATGTGTAAATGTTTCCTTTCAATCACACTGTTTGTTGTGGTCTTTCTACACAAAAGAATTGATCAATGATACCTTTCTTTGAGAATAAATCAGTGAAAGAAAGTTCCTTGGCATTGTTAGACCTGAATGTTTTAAGAGTTTTATTGAATTAAGTTTCAATATAAGATATGAATTGTGGTATGACAATATTACAATCAGATTTATTTTTCAATAAGAAGATCCAAGTGAACCTGCTTTTGTCCTCAACAAGAATTAAAAAATATTTAAAACTATCATATGTATGTTCCCTAAAAGGTCCCCAAATATCAAAATGTAGTAAATCAAAGAAGTTAGGACTAAAATGATTAGGATTAAGGAAATAAAGTCTATTCTACTTAGCAAGTTGACAAGTGCTATAATGAAAATGAGAATCAACAGAAGATAGAACAGTTTTATTAGCAATCAAATTGTACACATTAATAGGAACATGACCTAATCTTTTATGCCAAGTATCATATGAAACAAGGTTACAAGAATCAATGGTATTGAAAGTAAATTTTGACTTAGGAAAATAAAGGAATAGTAACCCTTGATCTTGTTTAGCAGTGCCAATCCTCCTCATTGTAGCGAGGTCCTAAAGTACAAAATTGTTAGATTGCATAGTAAACTGAAACTAGTTTTCATTAATCAAATTAAGAAGTGAAAGTAAATTAAATCGAAATGATGGTATGAATAACACATTGTGAAAATGAATGTCATCATTTAGTTGAATACTTCCTATTCCTTCTATTTTTACTTTAGTGGAGTTAGGCAGCATATCATAAGAATCAGATAAAGAAGTGTATGAATGGTACATGTTTCTATCATAGTATATATGAGATGTGGCCCCTGAATCAATAACCCATCTATAATTAGTATTATGCATCAGTAAATTTGTATTCATGCAAATACTTGTCACATTTGTAGGGATAGCTTCAACAGGATTGTCAAGCTTCATTTGATTGGTTAGGAAATTGATTAATTGTTGGCATTGAGCAGGTGTTAAATTGTCAGATTTGTTCTGATTTAAAGATTCTGGGTTGTCAAGGACTTGATTGGCAACATGAGTTTGCCAATTCTTAAAGCTGTAGTTAGGAGGATATCCTACAAGCTTATAACATTTATCCTTTGTGTGGCCTAATATACCACAATATGCACATTTTGGCCTTTCCTTTCTATTGATTTTATTGTGATCAGTAGTAGAAGATTTAGTGGAAGAATTAACAAGAAAAGCCATATTATCAGAGTTTATAAAAGGAGTGCAGGTTACAACAGTATCAATCTCTCTTTGTGTTTCTTCTTGAAGAACCAAAGAAAGTGCATTACCAATTAGAGGTAGTGGATCTGATAAAAGAATCTGGCCATGGATTGGGGAGAAAGAATCGTTCAAACCCATCAAGAACGACATTACATATTCTAATTCATTGTAGAATTGAAGATGTTGCAAGCCTCCACAAGTGCGTGGAAAAGAGGGTTTGTATCCTGATAACTCCTCCCAAATTGACTTTATTGTACTCACATCATTAATTCCTTGTTGAAGAGACATGAGTTGCCTCTTGAGTTGAAATATACGAGGACCATTTTTCCTCGAAAATCTTGATTTCAAATCGTCCCAAATTTCTTTGGCTGTATTTACAAATAGTATATTGGTTATAATCTCATTGGAAACAAAATTATAGAGCCAAGAGATAACTACATTGTTCCCACGAATCCACATAGCGTATGTAGGGTCATCAATAGTAGGTTTTGGAAGGGAACTATCAACAAACGAAATCTTGTTCTTCACGGAGAGAGCCACCAACATAGCACGACTCCATGTTGTGTAATTCTTGTTATCAAGTGGCTAGGAGGTGAGAACAAGGCCAGGGCCATCGAAATGGTGAAGAAAAAGTGGATTGGTTGGATCTAAAGTGAGATCTTTAGGAGTTTTTGCCATGGAAGCAAGATTACAGACGCAAGAGGGTCAAGAAGTCTAAGTTTATCCTTCTGATACCATATTGATACTATCACAGTGCTGATAGATCAATATTGAAGAAAAAGAAGGGAAAACATACTGCTGAAAAATACATCAGAATTGCATTTAGGAAAAAATTGATGAAAGATTAAAAAACTATATCTTATATACACGAGGCTAAAATAAACTAATTAACAACCTAACAGTTAACCCAAGAAAAACAGAAACTAACTAGAATACATATTTACAGTATAAAGTCAGTTGTATAATTGTATACTCCAATACAACCATAATGGCACCTGGCGGTCCCAATATGGCACTTGACATCGTATTAGAGAAACCGTGACTTTTAAAAAGGAAAATTGCATACAATGAGTATAATTTATTCATTTACAAATGCAATCAGTAAAACACTTCAAAAAGTTAAGACGCGAATCTAAAAGATAAAAATCACACATAATTATATTCTCATGTCAACTTCTTATACAATTTACCAAAACACATTCTCTTAGGGTTCTTACGGTAACCCATGGGCAATCCAAGATCCACAAAATTAGTTTGATACACAAATTTAATCATACATACAAGTTAGTAACATCAATTAGAGCATTGAAGAATCATATAGAAGATAGAAACCAAGAATCAGATACAAAATTGAGGTTTTTCCTCATATGATGCATTTGACAGAAAAGATATTGGGGTCAATCTCACTACTTCACAATTATCCCATATTCAAAGTGAGATTACTCACTCTCCTTGTACCTTGATGAACACTAGTCGAAGGAAGTCAATCTCCAAGGTGATCTCCCACAAATTTTGGTTTTTCTCCCAATTCTTTAGAGCATAAGTGTAGAATGAAAAAGATGAGAACCTAAAAATAGAAAAATTGTTGTAATTCCTCTTTTAAAACTTAACTCTCATTTAACCCTTCAATAAAAATATTTTAACCAAGGTTCACCTTTGCTTCCCTCAAATATTAATAATAACATATTATAATAAACCCCACATATTTCATATAAATAAATTACATTTATAAAAATTCTCCCTCATATATAAAAACTAAAATTTAATAATTAATGAAAATTTTGAGGTGTTACAACTATGGTATATATCACTATATGACATTTTTTTGTAATGTGTTGTCGTGTTTGTAATATTTTTATTAATAAAAAAATATGTTTAATTATACCAAATGATTTTAAAATAAATTTATTATTACTTAATTCAAATTAAATATTTTTATTGATAAAATAAGATGTTCAATTTTTGGATTTATCAAATAGAGACTGGAAGCTATAAAAGAAATAAAGAAGTTGGAGAATGTTCTTGTGCCATGAATGATAAGATATAACTTCATGAATAAGAGTTTAGTATATGGTATTGTGATTTGGTGAAGTGATTCTATAAACATGATGGAAAAATTCATACATTTTTAATAATTCACACGCACTGGGAATAATAGGATATAACTTCATGAATAAGAGTTGAGTATATGGTATTGTGATTCGATGAAGCGTTGATTCTTTGAATGTGGTGGCAAAATTCATATATTTTTAATAATTCACATATGCACAAAAATCATACATTTTTAATAATTTACACTCGTGAATAATAGGATATAACTTCATTAATTAGAGTTGAGTATATGGTATTGTGATTCAGTGAAACTCTGATTCTTTGAATGTGGTTGCAAAGTTCATACAATTTTAATAATTTACACACACACATAAATGTTGCCTACACACACATGCATGCATGCACACCACACACGCACATCGCACACATAAAGACGCATGCACATACACACACACCTAAGGCACACTTTTCCCTAAACATGCATAAAAACTAATATTATATTAGAACATAGCATGACGAACAATACTAACAAAAGAAAAACGGAAAAACACCTGAGACAATCACATTCACCCTCCAAAGCTCAATCGAGATTAGTCGCACTCAACAACGCGAGCATAACCTTGACATCCAAAGGAGGAGACAGTTTCACTAACTCATTACACTTACTAACCTTGGCCTTTATAATCTCCATTTTACCCTCATCGCTAAATCTATGGGAATTATTAGGGGTGGCAAAACGGGCCAGCCCGCCCCGTTTTGGCCCGCCCCGCCAATGGCCCGCCAAAAACGGGCCGGGCCGGGCTGGCCCGCCAATGAAAAACGGGCTGAAAATGCTGGCCCGCCCCGCCTAAGGATGGGTTGGCGGGCTGGCGGGCCAGCCTGTATACCCAAAAAATATTTAAAAAAAAATGGAAAAAAAAAATATTTTATGTTTAAATAAAAAAAAAATGAAAAAAAAATTATAAAAAAAGGAACCATTGCTTGTTACCATAAGCATAAGTACCAGGAGGAATGGTATGCTCTTCGGTGGCTGCGGCTGGAATGGAATTCATTTACGTTTTGGCTGTTGGCTGAAATTGGTTTAGGTTTTGGCTCTTTGGTGGCTGCAAATGGGCTCTATTGGGCCTGATTTTTTTTTTTTTATATTAAGCCTATTATTTATACTAGCCCAATCACTAAATCAATAAATTACCTATACGGGCTTGGTGGGTTGGGACGGGCCAGCCCGCTATTTGGCCCGCCGGGTTGGCGTGTTTGGCGGGCTGAAATGATGGGCCCGGCCCGCCAATTTTTGGCGGGCCAGCGGGCCGGCCCGCGTGCCACGACCCATTTTGCCATCCTTAGGAATTATCCCTCTAGTACTAGGGAACATCGATTGTCCCATCGAAGCCCTAAAATATATAATTCCCTACCTCATACCCAATGGTAGCCTATAATGAACATACTCACTCTTAAAACCTTTGAAAAACTAGGCAAACAAACTAAACAAACCCTTCTTTTTAACCTGTTCAAAGAAATCCAACCTACACCCGAACTCTCATTCATCTGATAAAAGAACATGAACTTCGCCAAAGTCAACTTTATCCCCATATAAGTACACAACACTTTTTAAGACTTAAAGGAACACCTAACTGTTTAGATGAAGCTAGCTCGAGGCAATGCTTACCCATCTCAAATACTCACATTGAATAATGTTGAAAGGTAAAGTGACCCCAATATCCTAAAGGATGTAGCGATAAATATACATAATTAGGCAATAACACATCTCCTTACTCAAGTATACTTAGTCTCCCTCAGCATATAGAGTCAGACCATGAATAAATGAAAATTAGAAGGCATAGATAGGGCACAACTATCTAGTAGTGCCACCAACGCCTCCTTCGTATGTAACCAAATCTCAAGTATACCATCCCTCTCCAAAGGGCCTTTACCTCTATCATCACCTAAATCCTTCGAAAATGACTTCGCAACTTGTTCAACCCTAACAAAGATGGACTATACCACCACCACTCACTAAACCATGCTAGCAATAATCATCCCAACACTACCCACACCAAACATCCCCTCACAAACAACAAGAGAAACATTCTCGTTGGGCAACCTCATAATAACATTGAATGAGTCACTATCCTTAGAAGATAATCTTAAATGCCTCATTTCCATTCAAACACACACAAAGACAACACGAGCCAGAAAACTAAAAGGTAACAAAGGCGAAGAAGTATACCTAAAGCATTAATAAATTGAAATGAAGATTGGAACACAGAACTGTGGAAGAATATATTGTACAAGATTTTGATGATGGCAAAGCAATTGTAGAAAAAAAAAGGTCAAGATAAAGCAAGTTGATCAAGAAGCAAAAATTTCAAGAAATATCTAGATAAGTCTTGACTACTTAGTTTAATATGTAAAATGAACTTTTAAAGTATTGCAAATTTTTACTTGGCCATTAAAATTAGAATTACAAGAAAACCTAAACTTAATCTTTTTGAATTTAAGAATAAGTTGTTTGAAAAGAAAACAAAAAGAGTGTTCAAAAAGATTTTACAAAAATATTTTTGACTGAAAATTAGAAGTTTCCTATAATCAAAAGTTTGGAACATTGTATCTTTTAAATTCAAATTTTTGAAGATTCATCTTCTGGTAATCGATTACAATGACTGGTAATCGATTACCAGAACACATTTTGTTTTCAAATTTCAAAGTTGATGTTTCCTTGCTCTGGCAATCAATTACATGAACTGGTAATCGATTACCAGACAAATATTCATATAATTGTTACATAAACTTTTGATTATAGGAAAATTCTAATTTTTAGTCAAAAATATTTTGTAAAATCTTTTTGAACACTCTTTTTGTTTTCTTTTCAAACAACTTATTCTTAAATTCAAAAAGATTAAGTTTAGGTTTTCTTGTAATTCTAATTTTAATGGCCAAGTAAAAATTTGCAATACTTTAAAAGTTCATTTTACATATTAAACTAAGTAGTCAAGACTTATCTAGATATTTCTTGAAATTTTTGCTTCTTGATCAACTTGCTTTATCTTGATCTTTTTTTTTTCTACAATTGCTTTGGCATCATCAAAATCTTGTACAATATATTCTTCCACATTCTCCCCCTTTTTGATGATGACAAAATATTGTTGGAAAGAAACATAAAATAGTGTATATCGATCGGTCCCCTTTAATCTCCCCCTTAGTAAATCATTTTTTGATGTTAATTTTATTTTATACAAAGATTTGTATTTAAATAGACACTTCAAATCATAAAAGTCAATTTTTGATCAGGATTTATAAAAAAAATTATAATTTCTTTTCCCTTTTTTTTTCTTTCCTTTTCCTCTCCCCCTTTGGCAACATCAAAAGGAATGAGACAACAAAAAAAATGTCGAATGAGATAACAAATACCAGTTAGAACAGAAGTGAAAAACAAATATGTTCCAATATCGAAGTAGTTATAGTCAAACTGCAGGAAATCCTAGAACACCCTTAAA